GATATGAATGAAAAGACATTTTTCATAATCTGCCAGCTATGTGTATTAACTAACAACTGGAATCACAATAACAAAAATCATTTTTAAAAAACCTCGTATTTATAGTTCAACTGCCCTAGTGATCTGTAGATTGCTTGACAAATGAGTATGTATCAGTTGTCTATCAATGAATTCTATGTAATTATGCTTTCAATCTATTCCCGAGGAGCAGAATAAGATCTTGAAGGACAGAAAGAAACAATATTCACATGCTGAGACTGCACTGAAAAGACTGAAAGCCATTCAACAAGTGTGTCTGTTCTGCTGAACGAATTAAAGCCAAACAGCTTTTTCAATGGGTTCTTAAAACTCATGTTGTTATAGTTACTTCCTATAGTTACTCGAAGATCAGCATTTCAATGAATATAATGCTGGACTGTCCTTTAGTAGAATCGAGTCTCACAGGGAGTTTTACAGGCCATGGCCCACATGGCCATGGCCAGATATTAGCACTTCCCAGTCTCTTTCCCCATTTTTAACAATGAGTCATGTACTTTATAAAACTATTTCCAATCTCTGAATAAATAATAGAAGCATGTACTCCAAGTGAGTTTGCAGTGGGTTCAATCAGATGTTAAATACACTGTCATTTAGCTCCAAAAGTAAATTAAAATAAGTTCAGTTAGGCCAACCTGGAAAGTAATACGTTATGCCTTAATAGAAAGAGTATATTGATGAAATATGTTTCATACTACTAACAACAGTTTATTTCTAACATCTTTAAACTTAATGTATCATTTTACTGTAAATATCTGAAGTATAGTACATGAAATTTTTCTTACAAAAAAAACGTGCTTGTCAAAAGCAAGTACCTTGCTACTCAGAAAAATAGTTCTCATCCTACTCATTCTTTGTAACAGCTAAAGAATCTGATTTTAATATATAATCAAGAAAGTGAATTATGTTGCAGTAAAAAAAAAATATTTAGCTCATAACCTGGTAAATAGCTCCATTACAAATTGCCAATATCCATTGCTAATAGTCTTCATTGTGGAGCTACTATGCTGTTGAAAACTTCTTTCACAAAAAGGGGTGTTTCTCACTACAAGACTATATGATTCTAGAATGTATCCAAAAGAACATTATTTTGCACTATTTTTGAAGTAATTTTAAATAAAATATAGAGAGCCATAATTACCACTACTTCCCAGTCATGCCTGCCCTTTCTTATATATTCAGCAAAGACATTGCCAGCATTTTTATCTAATTTAAGTGGCTTTATGGACAATAATTACTCCTTTACAGTACATGTAGAGAAGAATTCCATTGTTAATAGAAGAACTTTGGCCTAGCACCTTGTTCTGCTTTGGAAAAGTGCCATTTCCTAAAAAGTCCATCAATAAGTGTTTGCACTCAGAAATCAATAATGAAATGATAGAGCATTAGAGATTGATATATTGTTGAAAGATATTTATTTTTGACCAATGCCAAATTAGTTGTGAATTACACAAGTTTTGCAGTGGTACAGTAAATGTTTACAAGCACAAATAATATAGCTGAGATGTAACAGTGTGATGAAATTTCTCTGTATATTATCTTTTAGTACTGAAGCCTGACTTGAAATAAATTTGTGTTAACAATCTGTCTTTATCTTTCCTAAGTCTGATTCTGACTATCCCTTGTATATGATACAGATGAAATAAAGCACTGTTGTACAGCCATTTAATTGGGGGGGGGGGGCAGTTCCTGATGCCAGACAAAAAAAGGTATTTTACAACATTCTGAACTGATCTGAGATGTATTCAGTAGAAACTGAGTAAAGTATATGTCCATGGAATTGAGATGTCGGCATTGTCCAAAGCCTTCACATTTCAGATATGATGCATACCTGTTATTGTTGAAGACTGATTCCCTATGAAATAGATGTCTAGCGCACACATTTATATTTTTTCCAGTTATTGATATGGAATTTGTGAGAGACCAGGCCTTGTAATTCACAGGTTAAATAAGAAAGAATATACATTAAATGATGACTAGCAAAAGATTGTTTTGTTTGAGATCTATTCTGAAACAAAACATCTGAATTGGACCTCGTCCCCCCAAATGCATGAAATGTCTTAATTTACAAGGAGAAAAAAAGGTATAAACAAATTAACTGGAGGAAAAAGAGGGAAAAACAACCAAGGGATATGAAATAATAAATAAGGTTTTATATAATAATAAATTCATGTTATTGTAGATCAGAACTGTACAAATTATTACCATCAAGAATAGCCTACCAGTTAAACCTAACAACCTATTACGGAACTGATACTTAACCCTAATTTAAGATATAAGATTAAGTTCATATAATCATATATTCTGAGCCTATATTTATGCAGTTAATATTTCCCTCACTTCTGATATGTGGAATTTTTGCTTGCAAATAAATATATTTTAGTAGCAGCTTAATAGCTTCATTTTAATTTTTGTTCTTGTAAACCTTTGTACTTTCTGGAGTATGTACTACAGAAACAAATGAAGTTTCACCTTCCAAGGGCTGGAAAGGTACTGTGCTTTATAATGTAGCAAATAGTGGTGCTTTATTGTATTACAGATTTCACCTGGCTTTTTTATCTTTCTTCATTGAAAGGAAACTATACCTAGTGTAGAAGGAAGTCCAGATAAGTCAGCAACCTGATATTTTCAGAGCAATATAACAAATAGAAATTAAAGATTCAAACACATTTGCAACTAAGCTTCATGCCAGCATCTGGATATTTTGGAACACATTGATGCTGAGTTGATGGCAATACTTCTTTAACACTATCCAAAACAGGAATGGAGAAAATAATTTCTTATGACTATGAAAAAATGGATCAGAAGTAATAAAATAACATATCAACATTTTCTGGTTCATACAAGAGCCAGCATAAACAACATTGCATGAACTGTGGGCCAGGCATTTTCCTGGAGTGCCTACTCATATAGAAGCCCAGCCCATACACTTCTTCCCTCAAATTAGTAAGAGACTATGTCAGCAGGCTCTGTAAAACCAACATCAAGTTCTTAGGTGGAAAGCCAGTTCATATTAGAAGTGAAGACCTGAGGGTTATGCCACTTTTCTATTTCAACAGTGCTATGACACAACTGAATGCCAAAATCAATGCAGTTGTTTTCATTTCAGAACATGGAACTCTAATGAACATATGAATAATTAACAGAAAATTATTCTTATCATGCAAAAAATAAAATAAAATAAAGCCAAAGCACTACTTAGAAAGCCAGATGTGAAATGTGATGCATATTCATTAGCTTCCATTATGCAGTTGATGCACACCAATTTCTTTTCTCTCAATGGTATGGATTAAAATGTAATACTTCTTAGGTTATATTTATTTAATGTTAGAGACTTCTAATATTTAAACATACATGCAAATTTACATTTAAACTTTTCAAGATGAGGCAAATCATAAATCTAAACTATATTTGAAAAAAAATCATGATATAGAATTATATGATATAAATTCAAAATTAAGTTCTAACTACAAAATATGAACAGAACACTCCAATCAATACTACACAGATACTTACTACATTATACTGATTGAAACAGTTTTATTAAATAAAAATTAAACCTTGTAAGGGAGAGGTATCTAAATGAATGCAAGAGTGCCATCGAGTAACAGCTAATAATATCATGATGCCTCCTCACTCCAACTGGCCTACAGATCTTTAGAGAAGAATGGCATTCCTTACAACTTTCTTACAACATTTCTTACATAACTAGCCAAGTTAATTATTACAATAAGTCCAGGAAATAATTCTGCTACAGAAAGAGTAAAAAAACACAGATTCAAAAAGTAGATTTTTGAAGGTTAGGTCTATATAAAAACATTGAATTAAAATTGCTAGAAAACTGGGTCAGTCTTTGCCTCAATTAGCGCCATATCCTACATGTATTATCTTTGCTTCCTAAAAAAAAAAAAAGAATATAAGCATTAATTGTTAAATCCTTTTTTAAATCTATAATATCTATACTAAGGATTCATAATCATTTACGGAATATGCTGGATCACAAATACGTTTATTTTATCAGAGCCACTATCTGTTCTATTTTTGCTAGTAATAAGTCGTTTAGCCTGTTCTTAGCCCCAAGTAATCCACCCACAGTTATTACTCTTGATTTTTGCAAATTAACCTTGCTGGCCTTTCACCTCAAAAACAATCATGCTATTGTTTAGTGATAAATGATATCATTAGTTCCAGCCCAAATATCCTCAGTAAAAGCTCTCAGAAGGGATAAGAAAAATCCTTGGCAACACTCTTTTATTCAGAGAAGATGCCGTAGTGCTAGAAAAACTAATGATCTAGATCAATATAAAGCAGTTTTATATATTATGGCCTTTTAACAGTAAGCCAAAAAGCAGACAATCAGAAGGTACAGCTTCCTACAATTATATTTTCAAACGTATTGCTTATTTTTATATGTAATACAACTGTTAAAGATAAACCATAAAGTGGGAGAATTACAATTCAGATTGTGTCCTGATATATGGATTACAGTGTCGAGTAATCCAGCATTTGCTTAAATTATGGCTTAATGTCTTGCCTAATTCAGATCACAGGGAAAAAAATGTCAAATGTGACTGGAATACTAGTCAAATTATTAATTAATGCCTTCCCTATCCTTGTCTTGCATCAATGTTTATCAATGTAGTAACACTTCAGCTACTTCAGCCCCCTCACTCTACTAATTTAAACCAATGTGTAAAATAAGTTTGTGGACTAAGGTATGAGAAACTGGGAAACTCTTTTTACTTCACATTATTTTTATTCACCACTGCTTATCTAACATTCAAATGAACCATTAACTGAACCATTATTAGTCTATGTATTAGTTACCTGTAATAATTATATTCCCTTTATAATTGAAAGCACAGGAAAATATCTCATCAGTGTGGCCTTCCAATATTTGAATGCACTGTCCTGTCTTAGGCTCCCAAAGTCGAGCTGTCTTATCTGAACTGGCTGTAAGAATACGACTTCCTTGAGGATTGAAACAGATCTTTAAAAAAAATTGATGAAATTATATTTTTAAAAAATATTTAAGAAAGTGGAATACTTTATTGCAGTTTGACATCACAGTTCACATGGCCCCCATTTATAGATGAAAAGTAGCCTGAAATCATATAGTTTGTGATCTGTTTAAATATACAGCAATTGATTTAGGAGAGCCAAACTGGTGTAGTAGTGGCTAAAGGCACCAAGCATTAGAAACTGGAAGGCCATGAGTTCTACTCCTGTCTTAGGCACGCAACCAGTTGGGTGGCTCTGGTCTAGTTCACTCTCAGCCCCTTAGTAAAAAGTTGATTTAGGGGCTGAAATAGAATGAATTTTTCCATGGCCAGCCATCAGAAACTGAGTCACTGTCTTTCTTCTCAGAATGGTACTTGTAAATTGTTTTGTAAAATTTGAGAAGTAAAATTCGAGAAGTAAAAAATGTAGACATAATTATGAATTAAGACTAATTAAGTTGTAGACTTAATTATGAACGAATGGATTAAAATGTATGTCAGAAATCATGAGTTATTGTTATCTAGATTGCTGTGGTTGCATATCAAAGACGCAGTTCATAAGCTGGAGATAGTTGCATGTCACACTCCAGTAAATGGTAAAAATGAAAGAACCAGATATGAGTTCTAGAAAAAAAATGCAACATGCTAAATTAATATGATCTGTGGAAAACAGTTATTTTGTAGATGACATGAATGGATGAGTGATAATGAGATGAGGGAGTACAGAAAAATGTGATTGGGCCATTCAGAGATTTATGAATGACTGGTAATGGTGATTGATGATTATTTGCTTTTGACAATGTCTGTTTTGAATATATGGCTTAAGCATAAGTCTATCCATATGTACACATGGAGAAGGAAGGAATCTAAAAGCATGGTTGGTTTGATAGCTTATGCTGAAAGACTTAGTGAAGGACTGAAGAGTAATTAGAATCTACCAATCTACGGTTGGTAGAAAGGCAGTTGATAGTATGTGCAAACTGCCACATTACTTTCTAAACAGATGATGATGATGATGATGATGATGATGATGATGACGACCTTTTACCCCATAGGATGCTCTATCACAGTGAATTGTGCAAATTTACTGTGATAG